CGATGGGCTGAATTGCACAAAACGCATGATCGCACCGGCTAGTCTGGTGCGCGCTGCTATTTATTTGTTTTGATGACAAAAGAAAACCAAACTGAAGAATGCTTTCAGCTAAATTTGGCACATTTTTGCTTAGATTTTCGATCTCTTCCAACTTCTTTGCTTGATGAGCGAAGATGACGCTCGTCTACGTATCTTATAAAATAGGAGTTGAAAAGAATAAATAAAAAAAAAGCACCAGAGCCAGTGAAATCCTAAGCTTCTGCACAATTTTATGAGTCTGTAGTTAGTTGTTGCACTAGCATACCTGGGAGGAGCGCGATGATTCCTCGGTTATACCTGGGACTTAAAGGGTCTCAAAATTCGAGTTCTAGTTTACTTTCCATTGGAGCTGGAAAATTAGCGTTTGTTTGCAAATAAGAAGATAAACTGAGCAAGAAAAGGTGAAATTAGGAAGCTGATTTCAGAAAACGCAATCAGTGTTACGCAGTTAATTTGCTGAAATGTACGAAAAATGACTCTGTTTAGCTGGCTGCAGAAATTGGTATCCTGCCGTCAGAGCTTGATCTGTATGGAAGAACAAAAGCAAAAGTTTCACTTGGCATCTTAAACAGATTAAGAATGCAACCCAATGGAAAATATGTCGTCGTTGCTGGTATTACCATTCTTTCAGTGAGACACACTTTTACTCAGTTCCTATTAGAACTTGAAATGAGACTCACTACTCTGGAAATCGTGTTATTAATGCATTAGGCTGCTAAACAAAGGGTTATCAGAAGTAGAATGGAAGCAAACTAAGACAAGTCCGGCTCATGTAGCCGGCAGTCTCAGTACTGTGCTAGCTTCTGCCTACCTAAGCATTCAAGAATTTGCATTCCACCATTTCTTCTGACATTGATGAAAAATAAATGTATCCGAATTTTAAATTTTGATAGACGCGTAATTAACAAAAGTGCATAGCGAACGTCAGTGCTTTCCAATTTTTCGTCCCAGCATAATGTTAGATTTGTTTCAGGGATCACACCTACCCCATTCGGTGAAGGAAAAAGCACAACTGTGTTTGGACTAGTGCAAGCGCTCTGCAAATTTTTGCATCAGAATGCGCTGGCTTGCGTTCGACAGCCGTCACAAGGGCCAACTTTCGGGATTAAAGGAGGTGCTGCGGGAGGTGGCTATGCTCAAGTAAGGTTTCAGACGATCGAATTTTCTCATCTTGCTTTCAAGAGAAGATTGGCTTTAACGAATTCTGAATCTGTTGGTGCATCAGCCATTACATTTTGTATTGCTGATATTAACAGAGATTTGAAAGGACAAGTAGGCTTCTTCAAGATTATTTACTGAACGCTACTTTTTTTAAATCCCGGCTGGGACAAAACCGGCTGGCCAGTGCGATCGTGTGTTTTTGCATTATACTTGAAGCAGTCAGGTTGTTACGCGTTTTGGCATATACGCAAATGCACAATATACATCACGCACATCTGGGCCATGCGTACGAGCACTTGAAAGTCTTGCATGGAATTCGCTAACTCGGGAACCAAAAAAGCTATAAAAACGAAATTTTGAGAGGGTGTTTCTCTTCCACGTGCAACTTAAAGGTTTCGAGTTCAGCCCCCACTTGTGCGTGGTTTTCACGTATGACAGCCTAAAAATTTTTGGCGAGAAAATTGCTAACTAGGAAACCAGGGAAGCTGGAAAAATGATTTTTTAACGGAATATCCCCTCTCCTGCTGCAAAACTAACTTCCTAAATTAATTTCGAGAACTAGTATGTCACAAATTCTAGCAGCTGGGATTCCAAGCGATCTCATTACATCACGAAATACTGCAAAAACGCATAATCACATGACTCGCCCTGTTCGCGTCGCCAATAATACTGCACAGCAAAAACGCATAAAAAGTTGCGGTGCGTTTGTTATAGTCAAAGAACCACTCTGTAGAGCTCATAAGCAATTCTAGTTATTTGAACAAACAGCACGATTAATACTGGGTTCAGCGCAATCTGAATCAGAGCTCTAGACAGCGGTGTCTTGCTAAGCAGAGACACAATATTCTCTTTTGAAATCACACTTTTCAGTTCCATTGCTTTATCAGTTCTGTTATATGGAAGCGAAAAACAGCACTATACTTGCTGTGGAGGTGATTAAGCAAACTATGAATTGACGCATGGTAGGTATCAGTAGGTTGCAGGAAAATTTCAAATCACCACTTTATTGATTTGGCCATAAATAGTTCTGGAAAAACAAGGTGTGGGGTCACGTAGCATGCTCAAGCGACAACAGAGGAGCGAGATGGATTGTACCTAAGCGATGTGAACTGAGCATTGGTTCGTGATAGGATGATCCAGTCGTGATTAAGTAGGTGCAGTAAGCTCAGGTGCGAAGCAAAAGGAAATAGTAACTGCTGCACCTACTACTTGAAGGATTCAAATTCCATACTGTGCTTACCGATCTGATATGGAAAATTCGATTTATTACCAAGTTTAATCTTTAGCAAAAATTTAACAATGATTTCATGGATATGACAAGCAGCTCAGCTTCAAGACATTTTCCCAGTGGCATAGAACGGACTAAATGATTAACTATCAATTTAGCCGGGAAATGAATTCGAGATTTATGCGACGGGCTAAACGCAATCCTGATGCAGATAGTATGATTGCAGTACCAGTGCAGTGAAAAATATTTCCAAGTTTTTCGCGGCTGGCTGCCTAGAGTTGTTGAAATTTAGACGGTCAGATTCCAGAAAGAGATTTGCAGGCAATTCCAATGGAGGAGTTTAATCTCCATCTGACGGGCGATATTCATGCAATCACCGCCGCACATAATCTTCTCGCTGCAGCGATTGATGCTAGATTGTTCCATGAGAAAACACAGAGTGACGAGGCACTGTTCAACAGACTTGCGCCGGTTAACAAAAGCGGTATTCATTTTTAAAATAACATAGAAAGACTGCTTTTATCTCTGGCTCATTGAACTCGAGTCCTCAAAGTTTGGTGAGTTGCAATTATGCGTCACATGCAGGCTGCATACACTTTTTTTGTTCGCTACGACTTCTCTGCCGCAATTTAGTACAATTTTTTGTGGTCTTGCAATATGGCACTACCCATCGGGCGTGAACAATGAAATCATTGGTAACGCGCACTGGGGGGCCCCGTGCGATCATGCGTTTTTGCAGTGTTTCGTGCTGTAATAAGATTAC